GGTCCTCTCATGCCTCCCTCCATGCTGCTGTTGGCCGGTGAGGTAGATCTTAGGTCTCCCCGCCGGCCCATGGAGGCTTAGAGCAGAGCCGGCACTCAGATATCGCTGGCTCTGCGTGAGCCGACAGGGGAGATCGGGAGATCTCCCCTTCCAGCAGGGTACAAGTCCTGTGGCATAATGTATGGGAACTCTCCCAAGATTCCCACCCCCCCAAAAAAATAATATACACGTGTGTGTGCATATATATATATATATATATACATATATATATGCGTACACACACACACTCACAGACACATTCAGACACACACAAATACACTCACAGACACACACTCATACACTCACAGACACACATTCACAGACACACATACACTCATAGACACACACATACATTCACAGACACACATACACTGACACACAGACACACACATTCACAGACACACATTCACAGACATACACACATACAGACACACACATACAGACACACACATTCACAGACACACACACACACACACACACACATTCACAGACACACATTCACACACACACACAGACACACATACACATACAAATTATTATATTTTAATAAAAAAATGTCCACCCAGCCTCCCTACCTGGAGTGCTGGCGTGGACTTGTCCCTGTGGTCCAGTGGGGCGGGCGCCTCTCTCCATCTCAGCCGCGGCTAGGGAGCTGTGTGCTCTCTGCTTCCTCTCGCCGCGCGGGCTGTCTACAGTAGCTGGGAGCCGGAATATGACATCATATTCCGGCTCCCGGCATCAGCAAACGGCGCGCGGTGAGAGGAAGCAGAGAGCACACAGCTCCCTCGCCGCGGCTGAGATGGAGAGAGGAGGGGGATCCATAACCTCTTGCTCCCCCCATGACAGGGGCAAGAGGTGAGACAGGGGGCACTGAGTGCCTGTAGGAACAGCTAAAAAAAAATGCAGGAACGCTGTTCCTGCAGGACTCAAACCATAGATGTGCCACGGGGATAAGGGTGTGCCCAGGCACACCCGTCACACCCCGTGCGCACGCCTATGCCTAGATCTACCCCATGTCTAATCAAATCCAACTTTTGCACTTTCCTTTTGCCACATGCAGTCTACTCAAGTAATATATTATCAGTATGGCCCATTTAAAGATCAGAACCAATATCTATCAGTCTATAGAAGTGCTATACGGATGTGAAACTGAACAAACGACTATGGATGTTCAAGTTTGTTTTGTTATATTCAGAGTTCTGTCAATGGTGCCAAAAAAAGAGATGATTGATGGTTGGGGCCATTAAATGTTGCCTTTATTCACAGATCAAGAAGTGACCATTAGTAGGGTAAAATATTCTATAATATATAAACATGGATTTTTTTAATTGCCCTTCCTCTACAACCCTCTCTTGGCTAATTTTTGTCACTTGATTTTTTAACCATATGTCAGTAAAATGCGCCTATTAGTGGCAGCAGCAAAATATCTTAAAAATATTTAAATTTTTTAGTATACTGATTGCCCCATTTTAGCACATCTAAGGTCTGTCTGAATCGTTTTTTCAGAATATTTTTGCATGGACTGTAATTGGATGAGCTGAACCACCAAGTGGACGATGATTGGGCTAACCAGACTCATTTTCTTTTGGGCAAAGTGATTCGCCGAACCACATTTTTCTGCCTTTCATAAGTCTATTTTATAGTCCTACAGAATGGTTCTGAATTTGATGATGGTGATGATATCATTATATTATCAGTGCTTTCAATGGATAAAATACAATACATACATCTTGCCATGTCTCCTTTACCCCCTAGTGTACCTCTCCTTAAAAGTATAATTTTAAAACACTTAATAGGTCACAACATTTCATCTTGATCTTGGACCAGGCAAACAGCTAGCCAATGTGCTTATTTAATATGTATTTTACACCAAAATGCTTTGGTGATTCTGTGTTCTGTTAAGTACCCCCTTTGTTACCCCTGTCACTGGTTTTTATATATATAACATTTGTATGAAGTGAAAATAGCTGATACTACCTGAAGCTTCACAAATACCAATAGCTGACTTTTTTTGTTTTTTTTTACAGTTGTCTAAATATGGTAAATATGGTAAATTTGCCCTGCAAACACATAAAGTAAATTAACGTGATTGAATTTTCATATTTTTTTTTTTGTTTGAAATTTAAAGCCATTATTATTTTTGGGAGTTAATTTTATATAATAAATGCATTCTCAAAAATGTAGCAACATAGAATGTGGCCGTCAATGTATGTAGGACGCTGAGGATACAGTACACAGTACTCTTTTATATGTCTGTAACCAGTTTTGAAAGTATACATTTCCTCATTTTGTTTCAAAACAAATATCCTTAAAAATTGGTATACAAAAGTTCCTAATGGAAAGAAGGGTTAGGACATATTATTTAACCCAATCACAAATTTCAAAAATACGTCATAGAAATATTTGTGTGAAGAGCTGTTTGTAAAAGCTGGACACTGCCACCATATGGCTGAAAGAAGAACTACAGGTGCTGATTTCAAAACTCTCCTTTGGCCTGTGCAATTATGAGCAAAGTATCAATGAGTGGTAGACTGTCAAGAAGAAATTCATGATTTTTTTTTGATGTTGGTGTCTGATATGGGACTTAACCTGGTGTAGAATAAATGTTTCAAAGCTTTCATGAAATTGTGACCGTGTGCATTTTACCGCAGAGGGGGCACGTATTAATAAGAGCACAACTGTAAGATAAAAATCCTCTGCAACTTTAGTAACTGTTGAACATCGCCACCATATGGTATAAAAGATAACAGCATGAGATATCAGTGTCTAATTAAATTTGCTCAATTACTGACAATTGCATCAGCATTTTTATCTAATTTACCTTAATAATTATATTCTGGATTGTTAACATGTTTAAATGGCCAATAATTAAATATGCAAAATGGCATTTGTGGTAGAGCGAGTTTATTCCTGCATGTTGCAAATCAATGGACATTATTAAGAAGGGTATATGTTAATACACATCACTGATCACAGTTTATCCTCTGAACTCAGAACCCCCAATATAATTATACCTTTATTTCTCCGCCACTCCCCAAATAAATTACTCTTTGCACCATAACGATTACCACTTTCAATGGTTCTCATATGATAGTTCCCTTTCTTTCTCCATAAATATATCTCCTTTCTCTACCTCTCACGTTAAAATGATGATGATACTTTCTTTTTTTTTTTTTTATTATTTTTATTAATTTATAAAAAAATTTAACATACACCATGAAGGGAGTACACAATCCTCCCATAGTGCATCCCCCAAAAAAATCTTAATATTACAATAACATTTACATATATAAATAATATCACAATTACTCAATCACCAAAAAAAAAAAGTCAAATGACATTAACAAGACGAACAATATTGGTCATTCCACATCACTAGATAATACCCGATCAGAGATCCCTCCATCAATACCCAGGAAGCAAATAGTTAATCAATGGTATATGGTTGCTCGCCCTAATTCCATCCTGCTATCATTACCAGGAAACCTTTTTACTTATCGGAATAGATTATATCACTAATTTTTAAAAATATTTATCCTCTCTAAGAATGTATCATATAAATCCAATGTTCTCAGCTTAGGAAATAGAGTCATAGAATATACTCCCTTTTCCCTCTCTAATTGATATGTCACTTGGTTCTTAAGATGAGCCTTAGTAGGAACCTCAATGCTTTGCTGATGTCTCGCTATAAGGGTCTTAGCTGCCATTAAACAATGAATAAGGGCCACATCGGATATTTGGTTCATGTTTGGGCCCATTATATGTAATAAAGCCAATTCTGACTTTTGTTGAAATCGTTTATCCCCTAATAAATGGATGAGACTGAATGTCAAGTCCCATAAAGATTTAATTCTGGGGCCACACCAGCAGATATGTAGCATTGATCCATCAATATGGAAACAACGTCAACAATTAGGCTGATTGATCTGTGAGATTTTTACTAGACGTAATGGAACCATATACCATCTGTATGCCACCTTAATGAAAGTTTCTAAAATATTAAGACAGTGAATATATTTTTTTGTCTTCTGAAAGGATTTGTACCATATAACTGGTGAAATATTGATCTCTAAATCCGATTCCGATCCATTTTAGTAATGATTTAGGTAATGCCTGAGATCCCGATATACTTAATAATTCTGCAGTAATTGATATCACATCATGGTTCTCCTATGATAGTTCCCTTTCTTTCTACATAAATATATCTCCTTTCTCTACCTCTCACGTTAAAATGATGATGATACTTTCTACCCCACTGATATTCCCCATTTCTCTGAATCCCTAGTAATATTCCCATTCCTTATATCCCTATCGAGATCCCCATTCTCTACATCCCTAGTCATATCCTCATTCTCTGCATCCCTACTGATATCCCCATTTCTCTACAACCATGTTGATATCCCCATTTCTCTATCACTCTAGTGATATCCCCACTCTGCATTCCTAGTGATATCTCCATTCTCAATATCCCTAGTGATATCCCTATTCTCTGAATCCCTAGTGATATCCCTATACTCTGAATCACTAGTGATATCCCGTTCTCTATATCCCTAGTGATATCCCCATTCTATGAATCCCTAGTGATATTCCCATTCTCTATATCCCTAGTGATATCCCCATTCTTGGCTAAATGGTGATATCCCCATTCTCTGTATCCATGGTGATATCTGCATTCTCTGCTTTCCTAGTGATATCCCTATTCTCTGTGAATCCACATTCTCTATATCTCTTGTGATATCTCCATTCTCTATATCTCTACTGATATCCCCATCCTCTGTATTCCGGGTGATGTCCCCATTCTCTATATTCCTAGTGATATCCCCATTCTCTATATCCCTAGTGATATCCCCATTCTAAACACCCTTAGTGATATCCCCATTCTCTATATCCTTAGTGATATCCCCATTCTCCGTATCCTTAGAGATATCCCCATTCTCTCTATCCCTAGTGATATCCCCATTCTATTTATCCCTAGTGATATCCCCATTCTCTCTATCACTAGTGATATTCCCATTCTCTATATCTCTAGTGATATCCCCATTCTCTATATCCCTAGTAATATCCCCATTCTCTATATCCCTAGTGATATCCCCATTCTCTATATCTCTAGTGATATCCCCATTCTCTGTATCCCTAGTGATATCCCCATTCTCTGTATCCATGGTGATATCCTCATTCTCAGCAAACATGGTGATATACCTATTCTCTATATCCCTAGTGATATCCCCATTCTCTATATCCCTAGTGATTTCCCCATTCTCTATATCACTAGTGATATCCCAATTCTCTATGTCTCTAGTGATATCCACATTCTCTATATCTCTAGTGATATCCCCATTCTCTCTATCCCTAGTGATATTCCCATTCTCTATATCCTTAGTGATATCCCCATTCTCTATATCCCTAGTAATATCCCCATTCTCTATATCCCTAGTGATATCCCCATTCTCTATATCTCTAGTGATATCCCCATTCTCTGTATCCCTAGTGATATCCCCATTCTCTGTATCCATGGTGATATCCTCATTCTCAGCAAACATGGTGATATACCCATTCTCTATATCCCTAGTGATATCCACATCCTCTATATTCCTAGTGATTTCCCCATTCTCTATATCACTAGTGATATCCCAATTCTCTATGTCTCTAGTGATATCCCCATTCTCTATGTCTCTAGTGATATCTCCATTCTCTATATCACTAGTGATATCCCCATTCTCTATATCTCTAGTGATATCCCCATTCTCCATATCTCTAGTGATATCCCCATTCTCTATATCCCTAGTGATATCCCAATTCTCTAGGTCTCTACTGATATCCCCATTCTCTATGTCTCTAGTGATATCCTCATTCTCTATGTCTCTAGTGATATCCCCATTCTCTATATCCCTAGTGATATCCACATTCTCTATTTCTCTAGTGATATCCTCATTCTCTATATCCCTAGTGATATCCCCATTCTCTATATCTCTAGTGATATCCCCATTCTCTATATCCCTAGTGATATCCACATTCTCTATTTCCCTAGTGATATCCACATTCTCTATATCCCTAGTGATATCCCAATTCTCTATGTCTCTAGTGATATCCCCATTCTCTATGTCTCTAGTGATATCCCCATTCTCTATATCCCTAGTGATATCCACATTCTCTATATCCCTAGTGATATCCACATTCTCTATTTCTCTAGTGATATCCTCATTCTCTATATCCCTAGTGATATCCCCATTCTCTATATCTCTAGTGATATCCCCATTCTCTATATCCCTAGTGATATCCACATTCTCTATTTCTCTAGTGATATCCTCATTCTCTATATCCCTAGTGATATCCCCATTCTCTATATCTCTAGTGATATCCCCATTCTCTATATCCCTAGTGATATCCACATTCTCTATTTCCCTAGTGATATCCACATTCTCTATATCCCTAGTGATATCCCAATTCTCTATGTCTCTAGTGATATCCCCATTCTCTATGTCTCTAGTGATATCCCCATTCTCTATATCCCTAGTGATAGCCACATTCTCTATATCCCTAGTGATATCCACATTCTCTATTTCTCTAGTGATATCCTCATTCTCTATATCCCTAGTGATATCCCCATTCTCTATATCTCTAGTGATATCCCCATTCTCTATATCCCTAGTGATATCCACATTCTCTATTTCCCTAGTGATATCCACATTCTCTATATCCCTAGTTATATCCCCATTCTCTGTATCCCTAGTGATATCCCCATTCTCTATATCCCTAGCGATATCCCCATTCTCTATATCCCTAGTGATATCCACATTCTCTATATCCCTAGTGATATCCCCATTCTCTATATCTCTAGTGATATCCCCATTCTCTATATCCCTAGTGATATCCACATTCTCTATTTCCCTAGTGATATCCACATTCTCTATATCCCTAGTTATATCCCCATTCTCTGTATCCCTAGTGATATCCCCATTCTCTATATCCCTAGCGATATCCCCATTCTCTATATCCCTAGTGATATCCACATTCTCTATATCCCTAGTGATATCCCCATTCTCTATAACCCTAGTGATATCCACATTCTCTATATCCCTAGTGATATCCTCATTCTCTATATCCCTAGTGATATCCCCATTCTCTATATCTCTAGTGATATCCCCACTCTCTTTAACCCTAGTGATATCCCCATTCTCTATATCCCTAGTGATATCCACATTCTCAATATCCCTAGTGATATCCACATTCTCTATTTCTCTAGTGATATCCCCATTCTCTATATCTCTAGTGATATCCTCATTCTCAGTGTCTCTAGTGATATCCACATTCTCTATGTCTCTAGTGATATCCCCATTCTCTATGTCTCTAGTGATATCCACATTCTCTATATCCCTAGTGATATCCCCATTCTCTATATCCCTAGTGATATCCCCATTCTCTATATCCCTAGTGATTTCCTCATTCTCTATGTCTCTAGTGATATCCACATTCTCTATGTCTCTAGTGATATCCCCATTCTCTATATCCCTAGTGATATCCACATTCTCTATGTCTCTAGTGATATCCACATTCTCTATGTCTCTAGTGATATCCCCATTCTCTATATCCCTAGTGATATCCCCATTCTCTATATTCCTAGTGATATCCCCATTCTCTATATCCCTAGTGATATCCCCACTCTCTATATCCCTAGTGATACCCCCATTCTCTATATCCCTAGTGATATCCCCATTCTCTATATCCCTATTGATATCCCCATTCTCTATGTCTCTAGTGATATCCTCAGTCTCCATATCCCTAGTGATATCTCCATTCTCCATATCCCTAGTGATATCCCCATTCTCTATATCCCTAGTGATATCCACATTCTCTATTTCCCTAGTGATATCCACATTCTCTATATCCCTAGTGATATCCCAATTCTCTATGTCTCTAGTGATATCCCCATTCTCTGTATCCCTAGTGATATCCCCATTCTCTATATCCCTAGCGATATCCCCATTCTCTTTATCCCTAGTGATACCCCCATTCTCTATATCCCTAGTGATATCCACATTCTCTATATCCCTAGTGATATCCCCATTCTCTATAACCCTAGTGATATCCACATTCTCTATATCCCTAGTGATATCCTCATTCTCTATATCCCTAGTGATATCCCCATTCTCTATATCTCTAGTGATATCCCCACTCTCTATAACCCTAGTGATATCCACATTCTCTATATCCCTAGTGATATCCTCATTCTCTATATCCCTAGTGATATCCCCATTCTCTATATCTCTAGTGATATCCCCACTCTCTTTAACCCTAGTGATATTCCCATTCTCTATATTCCTAGTGATATCCACATTCTCTATATCCCTAGTGATATCCCCATTCTCTATATCTCTTGTGATATCCCCATTCTCTATATCCCTAGTGATATCCCCATTCTCTATGTCTCTAGTGATATCCACATTCTCTATATCCCTAGTGATATCCCCATTCTCTATATCCCTAGGGATATCCCCATTCTCTATATCCCTAGTGATTTCCCCATTCTCTATGTCTCTAGTGATATCCACATTCTCTATATCCCTAGTGATATCCACATTCTCTATGTCTCTAGTGATATCCACATTCTCTATGTCTCTAGTGATATCCCCATTCTCTATATCCCTAGTGATATCCCCATTCTCTATATTCCTAGTGATATCCCCATTCTCTATATCCCTAGTGATATCCCCAATTTCTATATCCCTAGTGATACCTCTATTCTCTATATCCTAGTGATATCTCCCTATTCTCTATATCCCTAGTGATATCCCATTCTCTATGTCTCTAGTGATATCTCAGTCTCCATATCCCTAGTGATATTCTTCATCTCCTATATCCCAGTGATATCCCATTCTCTATATCCCTAGTGATATCCCTTCTTCTATATCCCTAGTGATATCCACATTCTCTATGTTCTAGTGTGATATCCCCTATTCTCTATGTCTCTAGTGATATCCTCATTTCTATATTCTAGTGATATCTCTATTTCTATATCTCTAGTGATATCCCCATTCTCTATATCCCTAGTGATATCCCCATTCTCTATATCCCTAGTGATATCCCCATTCTCTGTATCCCTAGTGATATCCCCATTCTCTATATCCCTAGTGATATCCCCATTCTCTTTATCCCTAGTGATACCCCCATTCTCTATATCCCTAGTGATATCCCCATTCTCTATATCCCTAGTGATATCCCCATTCTCTATATCCCTAGTGATATCCACATTCTCAAATTTCTCTAGTGATATCCCCATTCTCTATATCTCTAGTGATATCCCCATTCTCTTTAACCCTAGTGATATCCCCATTCTCTATATCCCTAGTGATATCCACATTCTCTATATCCCTAGTGAAATCCACATTCTCTTTTTCTCTAGTGATATCCCCATTCTCTATATCTCTAGTGATATCCTCATTCTCTGTGTCTCTAGTGATATCCACATTCTCTATGTCTCTAGTGATATCCCCATTCTCTATATCCCTAGTGATATCCCCATTCTCTATATCCCTAGTGATATCCACATTCTCTATGTCTCTAGTGATATCCACATTCTCTATATCCCTAGTGATATCCCCATTTTCTATATCCCTAGGGATATCCCCATTCTCTATATCCCTAGTGATTTCCCCATTCTCTATGTCTCTAGTGATATCCACATTCTCTATGTCTCTAGTGATATCCCCATTCTCTATATCCCTAGTGATATCCCCATTCTCTATTTCTCTAGTGATATCCTCATTCTCTATATCCCTAGTGATATCCCCATTCTCTATATCTCTAGTGATATCCCCATTCTCTATATCCCTAGTGATATCCACATTCTCTATTTCCCTAGTGATATCCACATTCTCTATATCCCTAGTGATATCCCCATTCTCTATATCCCTAGTGATATCCCCATTCTCTATATCCCTAGTGATATCCACATTCTCTATGTCTCTAGTGATATCCACATTCTCTATGTCTCTAGTGATATCCTCAGTCTCCATATCCCTAGTGATATCCCCATTCTCTATATCCCTAGTGATATCCCCATTCTCTATATCCCTAGTGATATCCACCATCTCTATGTCTCTAGTGATATCCCCATTCTCTATGTCTCTAGTGATATCCACATTCTCTATATCCCTAGTGATATCCCCATTCTCTATATCCCTAGTGATATCCCCATTCTCTATGTCTCTAGTGATATCCCCATTCTCTATGTCTCTAGTGATATCCCCATTCTCTATATTCCTAGTGATATCCCCATTCTCTATATTCCTAGTGATATCCCCATTCTCCATATCCCTAGTGATATCCCCATTCTCTATATCCCTAGTGATATCCCCATTCTCTATATCCCTAGGGATATCCCCATTCTCTATATCCCTAGTGAATTCCCCATTCTCTATGTCTCTAGTGATATCCTCATTCTATATCCCTAGTGATATCCCTATTCTCTATATCCCTAGTGATATCTACATTTTCTATGCTCCCAGTGATATCCTTCCTATTCTTCATGTCTCTAGTGATATCCCCATTCTCTATTTTCCTAGTGATATCCCCATTCTCTATATCCCTAGTGATATCCCCACTCTCTATATCCCTAGTGATATCCCCACTCTCTATATCCCTAGTGATATCCCCATTCTCTATATCCCTAGTGATATCCCCATTCTCTATATCCCTAGTGATATCCCCATTCTCTATTTCCCTAGTGATATCCACATTCTCTATATCCCTAGTGATATCCCAATTCTCTATGTCTCTAGTGATATCCCCATTCTCTATGTCTCTAGTGATATCCCCATTCTCTATATATCCCTAGTGATATCCACATTCTCTATGTCTCTAGTGATATCCACATTCTCTATGTCTCTAGTGATATCTCTCAGTCTTCTATATCCCTAGTGAGGTCCTCATTCTCATATCCTCAGTGATATCCCACTCTCTAGCTATCCCTAGTGATATCCCCATTCTCTTATATCCCTAGTGATGCATTTCTATATCCCTAGTGTGATATCCCCATTCTCTATCTCTAGTGGATATCCACATTCTCTAAGTGCCCCTTTCTAGTGATATCCTCAGTCTCCATATCCCTAGTGATATCCCCATTCTCCATATCCCTAGTGATATCCCCATTCTCTATATCCCTAGTGATATCCCCATTCTCTATGTCTCTTGTGATATCCCCATTCTCTATGTCTCTAGTGATATCCACATTCTCTATATCCCTAGTGATATCCCCATTCTCTATATCCCTAGTGATATCCCCATTCTCTATGTCTCTAGTGATATCCCCATTCTCTATGTCTCTAGTGATATCCCCATTCTCTATATTCCTAGTGATATCCCCATTCTCTATATTCCTAGTGATATCCCCATTCTCCATATCCCTAGTGATATCCCCATTCTCTATATCCCTAGTGATATCCCCATTCTCTATATCCCTAGTGATATCCCCATTTTCTATATCCCTAGGGATATCCCCATTCTCTATATCCCTAGTGAATTCCCCATTCTCTATGTCTCTAGTGATATCCCCATTCTCTATATCCCTAGTGATATCCCCATTCTCTATATCCCTAGTGATATCCACATTCTCTATGTCTCTAGTGATATCCCCATTCTCTATGTCTCTAGTGATATCCCCATTCTCTATTTTCCTAGTGATATCCCCATTCTCTATATCCCTAGTGATATCCCCACTCTCTATATCCCTAGTGATACCCCCACTCTCTATATCCCTAGTGATACCCCCATTCTCTATATCCCTAGTGATATCCCCATTCTCTATATCCCTAGTGATATCCACATTCTCTATGTCTCTAGTGATATCCACATTCTCTATGTCTCTAGTGATATCCTCAGTCTCCATATCCCTAGTGATATCCCCATTCTCTATATCCCTAGTGATATCCCCATTCTCTATATCCCTAGTGATATCCACATTCTCTATGTCTCTAGTGATATCCCCATTCTCTATGTCTCTAGTGATATCCCCATTCTCTATGTCTCTAGTGATATCCTCATTCTCTATATCCCTAGTGATATCCCCATTCTCTATGTCTCTAGTGATATCCCCATTCTCTATGTCTCTAGTGATATCCCCATTCTCTATATCTCTAGTGATATCCCCATTCTCTATATCTCTAGTGATATCCCCATTCTCTATATCCCTAGTGATATCCACATTCTCTATTTCCCTAGTGATATCCCTAATTTCTATATCCCTAGTGATATCCTCATTCTCTCAAGTATCCTCAGTGATATCCTCTATTCTCGTACCTTGTGATATCCTCTATTCTCTGGTATCCTCAGTAATATCTCCTATTCTGCTATCCCAGTGATATCCCCATTCTCATCCTCGCGATATCCCTATCTTCATATTCTAGTGATATCTTGCTCTTCTATGTCTCTAGTGATATCTGTTACATTCTCACATTCCTAGTGATATCTCAGCCTTCGTACCCTAGTGATATTCCCATTCTCCATATCCTTGTAGTGATATCCCTTTATTCTCTATATCCTAGTGATATCTACATTTCTATGTCTCTAGTGATATCTCTATTTCTATGCTCCTCAGTGATATCTACATTCTTCTATATCCCTAGTGATATGCCTTCCATTCTCTATATTCCTAGTGATATCCATATTTCTATATCCTCAGTGACATCCCCTATTTCTATATCTTCTTTGTATATTCCTGCCTCTATATCCTAGTATATTCTCATTCTTAAGTACGTTACATCCTAGTGATATCCCCATTCTCTATATCCCTAGTGATATCCCCATTCTCTATATCTCTAGTGATATCCACATTCTCTATGTCTCTAGTGATATCCACATTCTCTATATCCCTAGTGATATCCCCCATTCTCTATGTCTCTAGTGATATCCACATTCTCTATATCCCTAGTGATATCCACATTCTCTATGTCTCTAGTGATATCCACATTCTCTATATCTCTAGTGATATCCACATTCTCTATATCCCTAGTGATATCCCCATTCTCTATATCCCTAGTGATATCCCCATTCTCTATATCCCTAGTGATATCCACATTCTCTATGTCTCTAGTGATATCCCCCATTCTCTATATCCCTAGTGATATCCACATTCTCTATGTCTCTAGTGATATCCACATTCTCTATATCTCTAGTGATATCCACATTCTCTATGTCTCTAGTGATATCCACATTCTCTATATCCCTAGTGATATCCCCATTCTCTATATCCCTAGTGATATCCCCATTCTCTATGTCTCTAGTGATATCCCCATTCTCTATGTCTCTAGTGATATCCCCATTCTCTATATTCCTAGTGATATCCCCATTCTCTATATTCCTAGTGATATCCCCATTCTCTATATCCCTAGTGATATCCCCATTCTCTATATCCCTAGTGATATCCACATTCTCTATGTCTCTAGTGATATCCACATTCTCTATGTCTCTAGTGATATCCACATTCTCTATATCCCTAGTGTGATATTCCTAGTGATATCCACATTCTCTATATCCCTAGTGATATCCCCATTCTCTAGTGATATCCACATCTCTTAGTGATATCCCCATTCTCTATATCCCTAGTGATATCCCCATTCTCTAGTGATATCCCCATTCTCTATGTCTCTAGTGATATCCCCTATTCTCTATATCCCTAGTGATATCCCCATTCTCTATATCCTCCCCATTCTCTATATCCCTAGTGATATCCCCATTCTCTATATCCCTAGTGATATCCACATTCTCTATGTCTCTAGTGATATCCCCATTCTCTATGTCTCTAGTGATATCCACATTCTCTATATCCCTAGTGATATGCCCATTCTCTATATTCCTAGTGATATCCACATTCTCTATATCCCTAGTGATATCCCCATTCTCTATATCTCTTGTGATATCCCCATTCTCTATATCCCTAGTGATATCCCCATTCTCTATATCCCTAGTGATATCCCCATTCTCTATATCCCTAGTGATATCCCCATTCTCTATATCTCTAGTGATATCCACATTCTCTATGTCTCTAGTGATATCCACATTCTCTATATCCCTAGTGATATCCACATTCTCTATGTCTCTAGTGATATCCACATTCTCTATATCCCTAGTGATATCCACATTCTCTATGTCTCTAGTGATATCCACATTCTCTATATCTCTAGTGATATCCACATTCTCTATATCTCTAGTGATATCCCCATTCTCTATATCCCTAGTGATATCCCCATTCTCTATATCCCTAGTGATATCCCCATTCTCTATATCCCTAGTGATATCCACATTCTCTATGTCTCTAGTGATATCCACATTCTCTATGTCTCTAGTGATATCCACATTCTCTATATCCCTAGTGATATCCCCCATTCTCTATGTCTCTAGTGATATCCCCATTCTCTCTATCCCTAGTGATATCCACATTCTCTATGTCTCTAGTGATATCCACATTCTCTATTTCTCTATATCCCCTTCAGCTAGGAGTTCATATCAGACTCTCTGTTCTACCAGGGCTTTAATGCATCTTTAATGCACTTCTATTCACATGACCCTCTGTTCCCACAGCTTTGACACTCAGCACGTGTACATTAGTATTATGTCAGCAGTCAAACTTCATGCTAAATTGAGGATTGACTGCTGAACCTGCCTGTTTTGCTGCCTGAAAATACCTCCAGCTCTCCACACTTGATACTGATTTGGCACAGAAGTTCTATCTCCAATTTCTGAGCAGGCACCTCTCTTTTTCCTAAAAACAAACAAACAAAACACAAAATACAAAAAGTTTAACAAAGTGACAATAAATTGCAAAATAATGGGCTGATAAACACAGTGAAACATTTTCACACTTACCATGTTATTTACTAAATTGCTAGGAATTCAAAGTGAATTATAAACGTAAGGCCACAATAGCCAGCCTGAACACAGACCTGACCTGAATACATTTTCTAAAGAAGCTCTTTTGGTCTAAATAAATAATGATCTTCACAAAAACCACAATGACAGTTATTTGAGATAGTTTATTAGCGTTTAGAAATTGAAATTTCACGTATATATATGTGGAGCTAGATTTAAAGGTTATTTGTTTTAAATTTCTACACATTTTCTAACTTGTGAAAATGCAAGGACATATTTTTTACCAACACATTTATACTGACACTTTGTTAATATAATGATGCCAATATACTACAAACTATTATATTTTAATTGCATAAATTTTCTCCCTTTGATTGTTGAAGAATAGTGAGGCAAACTACTATCTGGAACTTTAGTGAAGGTTTATATTTAAGCATTCTGCACTGTGTGTGGTTTGACTTTTTTAAACTTCTTTTTATTTTAACAAATTTTTTAACACTTTGTAGGCTTTCCATTTTATCTGTATATGTTTTTTTTTATATGAAAAGTTTAACATTGAAAAACTGATGGACAATTAGCTATCAAATACCAGTTGGCCAACGTATGAGGATGTGTATTCATTTAAGTGGATATTATGTTAGTAAAGTGACTAAATCACTAGCATTTGCAGGTTTGCCTGTGCTAAAACAATAATGTATATTGATTAAACTGTACAAGCTCACAAAACAATGCAATAACTGGCATCAGCTATGGATATTAAGAGTTAAAGGAACACTATAGGGTCAGGAACACCTCAGTCAACACTTATAGTCAACACCAGCTTTGCCAATCAGTACCTGCATCTCTATGAGGAAAATTCAGCGGCTCCATTCACAGCTTAGAGACGCTGATCGGCAGTGCTGCCTACTGTGCAGCACTGCCCCAGGAAGCCACAGGAGGTATCCCTAGGGGATGATGTAAACACTGCCTTTTCTCTGAAAAGACAGTTTTACAACAAAAAGCCTGAAGGGAATGATTATACTCACCATACTTATTAAGCTGTAGTTGTTCTGGTGAGTATATTGTCCCTTTCATCACCCCACCTAATGATGAAAAATAGATAGTATACCAATATACAGTTATTATCATAATTTTTAAGTGCAGAGAAATGTTATGAAAAATACCTTAAGTTTTTGGTGTGCATATAAAGGGACACTTCACTACCCAAATACAAAAGAAATAAAATCACTGTTTAGTAGATATACCCCAAATGAAAACACGCATGCATTAAATTATGCACTTCTCACTGGGGGTAAATCTATAAACTGCTTGCGAAACCTACAGTTCTCTTGTCTGCTGCCTTTGCAAGCCCTCCCCTTCTAACTCCGCCCAGATTTTCTGTGGTTGTCCAATCACCAACTATAAAATGCAGCTCAATGAGTCTTTACAAATCAGGTGCTCTGGATAATTGCTGCCTGGTGATTTTATCTCAACTGAGCTAATCAAAACAAATAGTAACAGGCTCTGCTTGAAGGCCAAGGGGGTGTAACCAGGTTAATTTATAAAAGTGTCAATGTCTATTGAAATCTGCACTTTTTGCAAAAAAAAAAAAAAAGAGGACACACCCTTTCTTAAAGTACATTATTTACCGTTATGTTAGTTTTTCACCTACTTCAAATTGACCTTGTCGTCAACTCTTTTACTTCTTTACATTTTAATTTGGTGATTTTCATTCCAACACTAAACAGCCATATAAAAGTGTGAAATGTATTTTAAAATCAAAGAGGCACAGAAACATAACTGAAACATTTATCACACAGATGGTCACATAAAAGAAAAAAAAGCCTAATGTTGGTAAGGACACCAGAAGATGAATGAAGGGAAATAGTAAAAAATATGAGCTGATATCTGACAGAAAGTAAACACAGAAGTGATTTTGTATTACCATCAGTTTGTAAGAAAAATATTGACTATAGATAACTTGCATAAGCATAAGGTTAAGGAACGTCTGGGGAGTTTGAAGGTCATAAGAAGGTAGAAGCATCAACTGTGAAAAGGTAAGTCCTCTCGTAACCTTTACAGGAATCATCTGGAGGCGACACACTTGTGATGGTAGTCACAGAGGTAAAATGACGTGCCCTGAAAATATTTATTTGGTCCTATCTCCTTTGTACAGATATCTTTGAAGGATATTGTGACACTTAAGAATCACTGCACTCCCACAATCCAGAATAGAATATCTAAATCATATATCATTTCACCTTCCCTCTCTGACTGCCAATTTGCAGTACTGTAACATGTAAGACTTATAGGCTCACGTTCAGTGGAGGAGGTAGAAAGGAGGAATTTTATGCTTTTTTTTGTTTGGCTCTCTGCCAGTTGATGCAATCTTGGCAAACTATTTCTTCTAACGTGAAATGCATCAACTGCATGTGTGAAGTGGCTTTATACTGCTGGGAACACTCGTGTTAGGGTTTAGTTTGGGACTTTGAATGTTGAATTTTGATGCACAAGGGCAATTTTATATGATTATTGATTTCTGTGATTATGTGTTGTGCTCTTATATATTCAATACCATTATCTTGTAGTGTCAGGGTAGCCCAAAAGATAGGCAGCCTTACTTGGTCGTATCTCATCATAGGAAGTCATGTTTTGTTTTGCCCCATAGCGATCTGTGTTTTAAAACTATTATTACTATACTTTTAAGATAATGCCCACCTTGATTACTGCTCTTTAAAAAACTGCTTTTGAACATTTTTCCTAATAGACACATTTATATCTTGGAGTGGATAATCACACGCAAGAAGACATTAAATAATCCAGTAAGTAATTGAGTTTGGGCCCATTGGGTAGAACACTTTCAGAATTGTGCTGATCAAGTACAAAACATACTATAGAATGCATTTTCTGTGCATTGAACTTGGTAATAATGTGATGGCATTTGTTGTGACACAAGAAGAATTCACACCGTTAAGAGTATTGATCAGAGGAGCTATGCCGGATCCTAGAAGTAATTTAAAGCACCAGCAGTCTTTATTGTGTTATCTAGTTTTCACTGCAAGTCTTTTACCTATGGGGATAATTTTCTTTACAAAGTTGACAGGACTGGAAAGATTATAGAGCACACATTGGCCTTTAAGGCTACCAGCTGATAATAAACACAGATTGCTACAACAGATAAGAACTAATTGGTCCATCTAGTCTATCGTAATGAAATCGTGGAGTGATTTAACAGGTTTTTTTTTTCTGCTAGTTGTGTGCGCGTCTCAGGCATTCCAAATTCTTTTACTGCGTTATCACTTATAACTTTCACAAGAAGACTATCGCAAGCATCTAGATTTCTTTGTGTGAAGATGTATTTTTGCACATGTCCTTCAAGTTGCCCCCCCCTACAATGTAAAATACAAATTTGGCCCAAATTGTGGGCCACATGGGTCAAATTTCAAAGAGAGCTTTACTGGATTTAGGATCTTCCTGAAATCATACTAGATTAGAATAGTCACAATAATGCATTCATTAACATCCAATCTAATAATCATCTGAGGTGGAGGAGATGTCTATTAAACGGACGTGCTATCATCAGTCTTACTTTTTTTTGGCTGTTTTGATGTATACATTGCTCTAGGTAAAGGTTAGCATATTTATAGATGCATCATTTATAGATTTATATATATATATTTATAGTGTTTGCTTACTGACACTATCAACATTTAGAAAGAGAAATCTTCTACTGTCTGAGAGGCTCTTTTGTTATCTTTGAAAGTAGCATCTTAAAGGGACACTGTATGCACTACAACCATTTCATCTCACTGAATTGGTGTCAGTGCTTGACATCTCCGGGTGCTGTCCCTCTATTCAGTGTGAAACCCAATTAAACACTAACTAAGGAGTCCTGGCCACCACTGGAGGTGTAGCTAAGATAGATATTACACACTTCATTCTAGCCATACCAATTCATACCAGCAAAGGATGCTGTAATAGGCTGAAAGTGGTCATCTGAAGATCTCAGCCAATCACTATTCCTTCCTAACTCCCTCTGTCCAGCCATCCGTGCATCCCTCCCCCTTCGTACCACTGCTTCTGTCCAGCCCTCCAAATCTCCCTCTGTCCCGCCCTTTCTCCCTCCCTCCATTCCTAGTTTTGGTGCTTGCCACACTTGCAGTCTAGGTTCAGCAATACGTCTCTATGAGACGCATCTGATTGGATGTTGGATGGAGAATAGATGGTGATGTGTGACAAAAAAGTAGGCAGAAAGTGCTTCAGTGAGATCTTGGTCCCAGAGCTGGAATGAAGGTGAGTTTTTGACTTTTTTCATAGTTTTTTTTTTTTTTTAAATTGGTGACCTGTCGATGGCAGAAGTAGATGAACCCATACATAAAACTGAGATAGGATAAGAAGAGGTTTGGAGTACCCATTGCTAATGTATCAGATTTTAAACTCCCAGTGGTGGAACTAACGGAGAGAGAGCACTGGCACAATAATTTTTTTGGGCACCCTTGAGTGCAAGCATGGCCTAAAGGTCATACAACTCCCACAAT